CCGCCGCCGCCCCTCCGACGGCGGCACGCCGCCGCGCGGGCCCCGGCCCGCGTTCCCGGCGCCCGCTGCCTGCGGCGCCGCCGCGGCCCTGCAGGCGCCGTCCCTGGCAGCAGCTGGCTTTGGGGCCGCCCAGCTGCCGTTTGGCCTGGGCCTTGGCCTGGGCGGCAGCTGCGCGGCTGGCCTGACAGATCTTGCGGCCTTCCCGCCCCCGCTGCCGACCGGCCTGCTCTCCTCTCTGCAATCCGCCCATCCGACCCCGGCCGCCTCGGCGGCGCTGTCAGACCACGCCCTCGCCGCGCTGCTGATCGCGCACGCGCAGGCGCAGCAGCGGCAGCAGCAGCAACAGCAGCAGCAGCAGCAGCACCATCACCTCCACCAGCAGCAGCAGCAGGCTGCCGCCACCGGCGTCTCCACCTGGGGGCTGGTCGGCGCGGCGCCGCCCCCGTGGCCGGAAAGCCCTGTCCGCTCGGCGTCAACTTCCCCCGGCGCTGCCGCCGCCGCCGCCGCCGCCCTGGGCTCGCCGACCGGCTCGGCGTCCCCTTCCTCCAGCAGCGACGCGCGTGGCAGCCCGCTGTCCGCCGCTATGGCGGGCGCGGGCGGGGGCGCGCCCCAGGTGGTGTTCCTTGTCGTGCCGCAGTCGGCGCTCGACAGCGCTATCAGCGCCGTCGGCGCATCAGGCCTGCCGGTCAGCCAGATCACGCAACTCCTGCTGCCCCCCGGCGCATGCGGCGGCGGCAGCGGCGTCGCCGCTGCGGGCGTGCCGGCGGCCCAGTATGCGTGCGCAGGTGGGGTGGCCCAGTATGCGTCCTCCAACACCAGCAGCGGGCGCCGCAGCAGCGGGAGCGCCGCCCACGCGTAAAGGGAGGGGCGCTGCCTTGCCGGCGGCCGCCAGGTTGCGTGCAGCAGGCAGCCCGCCAAGCGGCGTGCCAAGCAGGCAGCCGCAATCAGCTGGGCGCTTTTCTTGCAAACCAGTGCCGGCGTCGCACCAAACTGCGACAGCACACGCCGCTACACTAGGCAGCCCCTCCAACACTCCAATGTCTGACACGGGGCCGCTGCGGCTGCCTTGCTGAAGAATGCCCCACGGTTTGGACGTGTCCGGCCCGCCCGTGCTGAACAGCCGGCGGCTACCTCTGCGACGAGCGCAGTGGCTTTCTTGGAGTTGCCTGCAAAGAGGAGGGGCGCTCGTGCCCGTGCACACGCGAGCGAGTGCATACATGGTACGGGAAGAACAGGGGACCTCTCAAACCCTGCTGGGGTTTTCGAGGACCAACAAGGCATAAATGCCGGGAAAGCGTGGCTCCGATGCAACCGGGCACTATTATAACGTGGCCCCGACACACACACAAAAAGCGGGCCCCCCTTGAGCAGAGGGGCCATGCGCCGTCACAGCCCTGTGCATAGTTGAGTCGCCGAGTATGTACGCCCTTTGTGCATCATGTGAAGTTTACCTAACAAACCATCTGTCCTTGTCTTGCATCATAACGCACCGGCGCCGCCGCAACGCAACGCCCCTCTAATAGTGCGGGCTCTCCCTAGGCGGGCATGCATGAGGCCTCACGCACACGTGTTTGATACTCCGTAAATGTTTGTGTGTCACAGGTTTGGGAGCCCGGGGTCGTGTCGGGCCGCACGTGGCGCCTCCTCATGACGGCGCGCGACTGCACAAATATTCCAGATCGTTTATCTACTGCCTTGAAGCCCTGCTGCTACGGGCGCGGCGGCGCTCGTGCGGCGGCGCCCGGGCGGTCCCTCCGTCCCGCGCACGCCGCACGTCGGCCTGCCGCTGCTGTCTGCTGTCCTGTCCTTTGGGACCCCCCACCCTCCCTGGTGCCTCCGAGGCGCGCTGGTGCAATGCCATCCCTCTGTGTCTACGCGCGCCCCGACGCCGCCCAACCGCCTGGGCGGCACGCTGGAAACCATCGCCTCACCAGGCTAGCAGGACGAGACGCTTGCGAGTCGCTAGTCAGGCGAGCCTGCGCGAGCCTCTTGGCGTGAGACCGCGGAGCGCCCAAGTGCTCCCTGCCTCTCACTGCGATGAGGCCGCGCCGGCCGCGGCGCGCTCCATGCACAGGTGCACTGCGAGCGCGACAGCGGCATTGCCTTGTTGGCTGGCGCCGCTCGGCCAAGCCCTTTCATCCCGAGCACCAACGAAGCCCGTGCGGCCGAGGCGCGAGATATCTATGCAAGGCCGTGTCTACTGTTGCCTCAACCGCTGCGGCCGCCCCACCCGTCACGTCGTCATCAAGGCCGCTGTCAAAACATACCACACGCATACACGCATCTTTTGTTGGGGGGCCGATGCACGGGATTTTCAAGTCAGAGCATCGATGCAGCCCGAGAGCTGCGGTGCCGGACGATGTACTGTGGCGCTGCACAGCAGGGGCCCGCGCCGCCAAGCGCCGCGGTCGCCCCTGCGTCCAACTTGAACTCTGGCTGCTGCTTTGTTGAAGGGAGGGAGGGAGGGAAGCTGAGCAGGCGCCCCACAGGCTGCGGTCTGGGGGGACTCCAGGAGCGCGGGGTGCGCAGTGCACGTGCCGCGGGGGCGATCAGCGTGTTGCCATCTTGAGCAACGCGCAATGAGAAATGCACGCAGCTATGCACCGCATGAGGCGGGGTCTTTGCCGCCGATCGCACGGCGTGTGCGCTAGCGCGAGTGATCACAACGCGCGGCAACACGGTAGCTTTGCAACGGGGACCGTAGCGGAGGGCCCCACAGCCACCGATGATGTCGCCTTGGGCAGCACAATCAGATTATACTTGGATTTTATGGGATTGATTCCTGAATACTATTCGTGTGTGCGCGGCGCTACTGCAATGGCATGGACGGCTGCGTTGCTGGGGTTTGGGGGCTGATTTATGCGGGCTTGGAGCTGTGCTGCCCACCCAAACGACGCTCAGCCGACAAAGACCATCAAGACCACCACCGCGGCCAAACGGCCGACCCTTGCCAGCTGATGCACGCCATGCCCCCCGGGGGCGCCGCGCATGCAAGCTGTGGCGTGGGCTCGGGATGCGCGCTAGCCTTCCTAGCGCATTGCCACTGCAAGCCGTCGTCGCGGCCCCCTCGATTCCGTCCTGCCAGCCTGTGCATATTTCTTAGTAGCACCACTGCCGCCCTACCACCCTGTTGCGCGAGAGGCCGGCATGATAGTTGAACTGGTGTCCTGCCCGCAGCAGCCCCCCGACCTTGTGAGAATGCGTCTTGCGCTGCAGTGACTAATCGGCCCCTGGCTCCTCTGGAACCTCGTGCAAGCGCGCGTCTAGGAGGACATCCACATGTAATATCACAAGGGAAGACCGGGAGGGGTTTACTGAGGGGACCCTTAAGCAGTCTTGTTGCCGGTGGCATGTTATTGCAAGTACTCGATCACGCTGACGCGCGTGCTTCCACATAAGGTGCCAGCAGCAGGAGGGGAGATCTGAGCTCGCCAAGAGCGAGCCTGTGACTAATAAAGCGGCGAGCGCACATGCGACGTACGTGGGAGGGGCCAAGACGGCGACCAACAGCTCAGCTGACACACACCAACGGGCGTTTTCATTTTTGTGATTGCCTGATTGCCAAGCCCATTGATACGCTCTGGAGGGGAGGCATCGTATCGAGACGCGCGAACGCTAACTGACTGTGCAGCTGAAAACAGAGTGCTCGATGCAGCAGGGGCGGCCAGCCGACGGCGCCCGAGCACAGGAGTGCCGTCCCCGCAGTCCCAGCGCCAATGGGGTTCCGGGTTGCGTGTCACCCCTGCGCTCTTGAAACTTGATTGTGTTGGCGCGCCTTCCGCCCCGCTCTGGGCAGCAGTCTTCCCACGGATGGATGATGGCGACGGCCAATCCGAAGCGCTACGCTCTGCCTTGCCTCGTTTATTCTCCCTAATTTTGTTTCTTTAGGAGTTCCATCATTGCCTCGAGCAGCTTCTGCTGCTCGTCCAGCCGCTGCCGCAGCCCCGCAATCTCCGCCTCGCCGCCCGCGCCCGGCACGGGCAGCAGGCGGGGGCCCCCGGCGGGGGGCGGCGCGCCGACGCTCCCGCCGCTGGCCGCGCCCGCCGCGGTCGGGGCGGACGGGTCCTCGGGAACGGCGCTGGCTGCGGCCGCCTCGGCGGCCGTGGCGGAGGTCAGATGCCTGAGGGGGAGGGGACCGAGTTGACCAGAGTTTGACCCAGGAGCAAAGGTGCCTTCTTTGAACAGATTGTTGGGCGGCCGGGCAAGAGTGTGTGTGTGTCGTGCGTGAGAGCATCATGAGCGCCTGGCTGGCAGCCTTGTATGGTGGCAAGCTGAGCCTTGCGCCACACTGCCTTGGACAGCGGGTCCACCGCAAGCCCCGCACCTGGTTCCAAACGTGGAGCGCTTCCACCCGCCCGTCTTGGCCTGCGGCAGGGACGTGCCGCCCGCGACGCTGAGGCTGCTGCTGCCGCCCAGCGTGGCTCTGCTGCCGAGCGCGCCGCTGCCGGGCACGGCGCCCGGCGCGGCGGCGGCGCCGGTGATGCCCGCGGCGTCGGCGAGGCTCTTCAGGACGCCTGCCAACTCTGCCACCTGGCGGTTGTGATCCACCATGACCTGGCACAGGGGGATAAAGTGTTTCAAAGCGGTGCGGGCGCCGCATGTGTGAGGGGGGATGCGAGCTGGTGTGCAAGGGAAGGGAGTCCTGGCTGTGCTGCATGGCCCTGCGGTCGGGTCTCAGGTTCAAGGGCGGGGAGGGGGCGCGGCAATGTGCGTCCCTAGGTGTGCGTGTGAGTATGGTGTGTGAATGGAAACGTTGTGTGTGTGTTGGGGGGGGGGAGGTGTATGAGCACCCTGGTGTGCCGGGAACGGCAAGCCCCAGGGCAGGAGGGAGGTTGGGCAATCGGTGCTTCCCTGCAGATAGGCACGCCAACCGGCGGCTCACACCTGCTGCCGCCAAACGCAGGCTTGACCGACAAACTCACAGACGCACAACCCCCCCCCCACACACACATGCACACTTGCACACCCACAACCAAACATACCCCCCCATACACACACATACACATGCACGCACAACCCCCTGTCAAGAAGCTGGTCCGACGCGCTCACGCCCAGCGCACCCGCTTCTGTGCCGCCAGCTGCCGGTTGATCGTGTCGCCCAGCGTCTGGGTGGACCTGTTCGCCTGCACGATCTGGTCCTCCAGCCGCCGCTGCTCCCGCATCATCGCGCGCATCTGGTTGCCGACGCCCCCGCCGTGCGCGCCCGGGGCGCCGTGGTGCTCGTTGTCGCCGCCGCCGCCGCCGCCGAACAGCGCCCTGCCGCCCTGGGCGAGGGCGTCGCTGCCGCGCCGCAGCTCCGCCAGGCGGCCGACAAAGCCGCCGGCGCCGCGGCGCTCGCCCTGCGTGCGCCGGGGCGAGAGGGCGTGAGCGAGAGGGAGGGGTTTGCCGCGTTGGAGGCCGGACGGATCACGTTGGGACTATCAAAGGCGGCCGCGCCAGTGCTGCGCCGCCGCTGGTCGCGCGCGGGCATGGAGTGCTCCGCAGGCAAGAGCACAGTGCGTGCCGCCGCCCCTCCCGTTCAGCCGCTCGTCCCCCGACGTCGGCAAGCCCCTTCGCCCGAGCCCCTCACACCCCGGGTTTCAGTTCATTCCCCCAGGCCCAACGCCCCCCGGCCCCCGGGCCGGCGCCCCCTTCAACGCCGCCGATCCCACCCCGATGCCATTCCACTCTCATCGAGGCGGAACAAGCCCCAACCCGCCCCATGACAAGCAACCCTGATTTGGCCACCATGCCCCCCAAGTAGGCGAGCTCGCGCAAAGCAAGCCACTGCTTACTGCCATGCGGCTGGACCCGCCCCCCCAAATTCGTGCCCGCGTTTCCCCCTTCCTCGAACCTCCAAAGCCCCACCACCCACCATGCTCCCAAGCCGCAGATCTTTTGTCTTGACCACCGGCCCCGCCACCGCCCCCGACGGCAGCGGCGCCAGCCCCGACGCTGTCGGCGCCAGGCCCGCCCCCTGCGGCGGCGCCCCGCTGTCGCCGTCACCGTCGCCGTCGCCGTCCGCGCCGGGCGGCGGCGGCTGCGTGTTTTCATCGCCATCATTCTCGTCGTCGTGCCCATAGACGGCCAGGATCGCCTGCGCCAGGACCGGGATGCTGGTCTCCCGCAGGCCGGCGAAGGGGCTCCGCCAAATCTGGTGGCGGGGCTGGCGAGTGTCGGTCGCGTGGGAGCGGTTAGGGGTTGAAAGGTCGAGTTTTGTAGAAGTGTGAGCGGTGAGGGTGTCGCGTGCACTATGTCGACGCGCAAGCCCCCCCCCATCCCGGCCGCCCGCGGCCCCTGTGCCGCCCCAGCCACCCTGCACCCCGCTCGGCGTCCAAACGCGCGCGCCGAAACAGCCAGGGCCAAAACCTTCGCACACATGCGTGCGCACACTGGCTGCCCGGCTTGCTGCCTGCCGATACGCACCATCGGGGTGCGCCCCATCTCCAGCGCCACCTGGAGTAGCGCTATGAGCTCGTCCGCCCCCAGCACCCCGCCGTCAGACAGGTCTGGCAGCTGCGCCTGCCCGTCGTCGGTCTCGGTGAGCGCGGCGCTGCCGCTGGCCGCGCTTTGCAGGCGCACACGCTGCGCAGCCTCGGCGGCCTGCGGGCACGGGAGGAGGCTGGTGAGAAACACGCCGAGCGCAAGGGGGCGGCGCGCCGCCAGGGGGGTTCAAGCGGACGCCGGTCTGTGGCGCCCGCGTGGCCCCCTTTACAGGCGGGGTTCGGTGTGATTT